AGCTTATCTGACTCAAACCAATCACGAGAGGATAAGGTCAAACCCATCCTGGATACTCCTCCCCCCTCACTATGGAGAAGTTCACTGCCTTGAATTATTTGTAAAAACAATAAAAGAGAGATACAAATAAATAAAATAAAGAAACAACATTGTATTAACTCATTATGGAGGTTAACAATTTTCCAACTGTATTCCCCTGAATACAGGTGGTCCTCAGGTTACAACTGGTTGTTTAACAACAGTTAGTAGTTATGATGACCTCAGAAAAGGTACATTATGGCCCAATTCTGGCCATCATAAAACATTTTATCCACCCTCTCCCACCCTGCATTTGCACTTACAACCAGTTGCCAAGTGCCCTGTGATCATGTGACCACCATTTGCAATGTTCTCTGCCAGCTTCCTCAGAAAGTCAGGTTACATGTCAGGAGGACTCCTTCTAGTCTTTAGGGGCTGGCTGAAATAACTGCTGGCTGAGGAAAATTGACATTCTTCCATGGGATGAAGAAACAAAGCTGAGATCATGGAGATGTAAGCTCCATTTCTTCAACCTGGGGAAGGACATCAGCTTAGCTTGATGTGCGGAAAGGAACTTCCTGCACCCAGTAGGGTACAGGAAGGGACTTTGGAGCTTCACGATTTAAGCTTCATTTCTGCACCCCAATGGAGGAGTTTCCTTCTGTGCCTGAAGATCAGTTGAACTCCTGAGGGGTGCAGATCATGTTCACCATTTCAACACACCTAGGCGGCCTTGAGAGAACTCTTACAGAATAGTGCAAGGCCACCTCTATAGGAAGGGCCTTGCGTTGGCTGGACATAAAATGTAAATGGAATAATTTCTGTATGCTGCTGGGCCATTCAACTGGCCGAGGCTGACTGCCCTGCAGCAACTTTGCTTGCACCAGTGAACCCTTTAGCCAGCGAAGGCCACCAGAGCCTTCCCAGCCTGAGGCATCCCATACTCCACATCACAACCCACACAACTGCTTAACAACTGCAACTTGGGAGAGCTGGGATTGCAGACATTGACAAATTGGTCGTGTGGGCATCTCGCTGAATGACTGCCTCACTCAATAATTAAGATTCTGGTCCCGATTGCGGTGTTAAGTCGAGGATTGCCTGTAGGGCTGAACCTATACAAATTCAAATTCTTCCCAAATTATAGACAAATTATAGCACAAAACAAATGGGGTCTTCAAGTATTTCTGAACTACTATATTTTTATAAGTCTAGATTGACATGTCCTTTGGGAATATCCAAAAAATCTAAAGAACAGCCTACCAATGCTGCCTATGGCTAGTACACACCATACCTAGTGTACTAATGTCACAGTGTTATATTGCTGATGCCTAAAACGAGAATGGATTATATATCCACAACTAAAGAACCACAGAGTGCATCAGACAATTGTTACTAATGAGGCATGACTTTTGTGGTATGATACCCAATTCCATATGATACTGAGTTCCGTAGGGGAGAAAAGGAGACTATTTTCACATAATCGCTAGATTAGGATTTTTAAACCATGTTTTATTGAATATATTACAATAGCTCATTCAGCACTCAATGCAAACAGGTGATTTACACATTAACTAAGGCCAAAATCCATGCTATGACTTAGTCATAGGTGTGAACCATATTATGGGAGCATAGGATCTTAATGGAAAGCAATAAAATGTGGTAGTGTAATATATTTACAGTACTGCACAATTTAAAATAAAACACCTATCAAACAACCCTTCCACCCAGCAAGTGGCTAGTAGCTAACGTCCTCTGTGCTGATTTTTGTTTTAAAACAATATATTATGGCAAGCAATCAGTCAAAGTACAAAGGTCTTTGAGGAAATAAATGCAAAGAAGGTATACTGCAAATTGGAATATGTATAGCTGTATGCACCCATCCCCCAAACAAAAAATGCTAAATGTGTCTGCATTCTCCCGATTCTGAAAGAAATATCAGAAGTCCAATTGCAAAAAGAAAAGATGAAGAGAAAAATACAGCTCTGTTTAAAAACTAACTATTGCAATGTAGATAGCTAAAAGATGAGGTAAGTGACATAAAATGTAGCTTAAAGAATAAAGGAACAATAAATGGGGGTAGAGACAGAAAGAAAATAAGAAATCTGATGACCTATCCAGTGAATGTTTACTATAGAAATAAAGTATCTACGGTACCAGGTCCCCTTGTTTTTAACTGCCAAATTTTCTTTTGAGAAACTAACAATTGTTATGAATCTTGGGGGACTGAATATTACTTTGCAATATATGGATTACAAAGAGATCCCAGTAGGGTTCATTGCATTACAGTTAAGAAGATTCCCAAGAGAGAGCAAGCAGTCCTAAATATAACAAGTTTATTAAGTCTCCTAATTAACTGCATTAAACAAATGCATTTATCTTTCCCAATTATCCCAATACCTGAGAATAACTCTTTTTAGTTATTTCTCTCTGAACACATATATAAAACACCACGAGATCCAAAATTTGTCAATATGAGTAGCAGAAGGAGGAGGAAGGGAATATTTCAAAAGCAGCAGTTTTCTTTTGGAGCCACTTCTGCATTTCAGCCTGCAGTGTAATAAGAGTCCTGGAGGTCAGACAGTGTGAGCTACAACTCAATTAACTTCTTTATCGTTTGTCTGAATGCCATATTTCTGGTTCAGAGTACAGACATTGACCAAAGACATTTCAGTGACTTCAGCTCAAACCAACCAAAGAATGTTTATTTCCTAGCATTATTCTTCCTAACAGCCAGTTTAATCTTGTCTTTATTTGAACAAGGATAAGGGTACACGTACTCCAGTTTAAACAAATTTGAATTAAATTTAAAGTCCTTCTGGGAAAACTACCCAGCCAACTATAGTACAGATTTCCTCTAAAGTCAAAAATAACACACCCTTCGGACACAGAAGCATTAAAAACATTCATTTGTTTTATAATCCAGCCTCGGTCCCCTGAAGAGAGTTTTTATAGTGGTTTACCCAACTCATGCAATTATCAGCTTAGCTTTGGTAACCTCTATAACTTTTAAAGAATGGTGGTCTGTGTGAAAGTGAAATTTTCCCAAGTCATATAAAAGGATTCTACATTTTGGTCAGTAACAGTCAAGAAGTTGCTGTATCATCAAATAAATTTGAAACAGTTTCTAGAACTTATTCTCAGTTTGCAATGACAAGTAGGCTGCTATGGGTAAGCTTCAAATGCCTCTCTAGAGCTGCTTCTAAGCAGACTATAAATAGATTGAATTTCCATGGTCAAATGTAGAAAAATCTGAAATCTCGGTATTTGAAAATCAATGTAACACTAATGCGCATATTGTTAGATATTTTCCCCTATTGGCCAATGGCAGTATTTGCATGATACACTGAACCACAAATAAATCAATAAGTTTTAAATATAGTTTGTGATTCAACCTGTGTACTTAGTTTATATCTGAGTGCTATATGAATTCAGAAAATTGGAATAAGAACATCAGGATTAATCATATATCATCTGTTGAAATGGGTGGCTATAATAAATGTTATGAATTAAATACTATGAAACAAGTATTTAATCTGGACATCTACAGGGTTGAAATAGACATATACTAATGAACAGGTTTTTTTATAAACCCAAAATGGGAAGGAATATTGTACATTAGGGATTACTAAATAAGAAAATTGGAAGGGAAATCTAACAGAAATAGGCGATTGCATTTGTAACTAAATTATTGCAAGGATGGATTTAAACCAGGTTCATTTATTATCAGTATACGGAAACAATTCTACAATATGAAATCAACTGGCAAGAATATCTCAAGTGAGTTCAAAATTTAAAAAATAAAGACAGAATATTGGATTGTCTATGATTTCTCCCAATATCAGCTAGATATATTAAATATTTTCCCCAAACACATGCCATTCCTTAGAATTGCCAAAAGGACTACTCATTTTTCTTAGTTTCTGAATTGACGGGAGATAGTGATTCTTGAGACCAGACCTAGTCCAGGAACAAGTATGTGATGATTCTCCTACTGAAGTTAATTCACACAGAGTTTGGTACCTGAAATGTTGAGTTTAAATAACAACTGCATATAAAAGCCTCTTGAAATATAAAGTAGCTATCCTTGGTAACAAAACAAAAAACAAAAAAAACCCCTCCTTTCCAGCTTCTAATATCTCTCTCAATGGAAAAGGTGTGGGGGAACCACAATGTTATCCTGACTTGACTCTTCTCAGTTAGAGTTTTTGATTGCAATATTGATGTGTAAAATTGCCCCACGGGAAGTTATATATGGTCCTGACAATATTTTCTGGTGCCAAGAAGAGATCAGGTTGTTTAAAGACTTTGGATTGTTGACTTGAAATTAAATTATCTTCTCTTTTCCTAAGTGGAAGAAACATGGGATAGAAAATAAAATCAAATTTCTACCAAATAGGGTCAAGAGCTAACTTTCAGAAAAAATGCTTTTTTATTTTGCATTGGTCACAATACATGGATACTCAAGCAGTTTTCATTTTAGTTTAGGATTTGCTCTCTAATAAATACTGAATAAACTTAGTTACCTAATTGTGTGTGTGTGTGTGTATGTATGTGTCTTGCTGTGTATAATATTTATTACATATATCCACACATTTGCAATCAGGAAAATTACAAAAAAAACCCATAATTCAACAAACAATTCTTCTTCTGTAATCTATGAGGTCCTTCCATAATTAGAGCCCAGACTGATTGTAGTTTTAGGATATTTTGTATTGATCAAGTTACAATTAAAAATCATACTTAATCATGTAGTTTTGTACATTGTGCGTATATGTGAGTGTGTGTCACCTCTGATTTGCCTTTTAAAATCTGATGGAGATATATTTATTCAAGATATATAGCCACCCATCTCAAACAAATAACCGGGCGGCGAACTGTCATAAAATCAATTAAAACCAAATTACAAGCAGGATACAAAAAATAAATATACACAGTAGCTGAGAAAATGATGATCTGCAGATATCCAGGAAACAGGATGCTTCACATACTTGGGATCCTAGGCCCAGGCATATAACCATGACTCCAAGATCTTACAAAGAGCGAACATGGGGCCATCCTAATCTCTGAAGGAAGAGGACAAGTACTATGGCAGAAAAGGCATGTATCCTAGTCCATGACAGCTGATGTTCCTTGGCTGACAGGATTTGGAGCGTGTCCATCCTGATGGGACTGGATTGGACAGGTAGAAACAACTGGGAGAAGACGGTCTCTCAGGTAAGCCAATCTCAAGCCATAAAGAGCTTTGAAGGTGACAACCAGCACCTTTAGCTGCATCCAGAAACATACCAGCAACTAATGCAGTGGTGTTACATGTACCACGTACCCAATTTCATTTACTATCTGTGCAGCTGCATTCTGTACCAGTTGAAGCTTCCAAATCCCTTCCAAGGGGAGTTCTACTAGAACACATTTGAAAAATCCAGACCAAAGGTCGGTCACTCACAAGGGCATGAGTGACAATGAGCAGAGACTCCCAATCCAGGTATGAGTGCAAGTGGCGCATAACCCAAAGGTGTGCCAAAGCCTCTTGGCCAGAGCTGCCAACTGTTTTTCCAACAGGAATCAAGATTGCATACCGGATCTATCTGGAGCAGTACCATCTGAGGACCAAACGAATCTTGGCATTAGAAAGCCCAAACTACTAGGTATAAGTCATATGAAAAACTATTTAAAACTAAATTAGGTTAGCTACAATTATTCCAATTGCTGAAGTTCATTTTTTAAAAAATTGAAACTATTAAATAAGCAAAACTTTAACTGATTTAATAAAAATAAATTAAACATTATTTTATAGCTTTGATTAAAACAAAAGGGTAACATTTGAGCAATTGGAATAATTGAAACCTCTCTTATGCCCAATTTCTAGTATTCCAGAAGATAGTTATACCTATGTTGAAGTAAAACAGAAATCTTCAAAATTCTGGCTTACTATGAATTTATTTGGCCGTGGCTACATACTGTTGTTACTCATGTTTAAATCCTTCTCCCTGCGTGAGGAGGTAAATAAACCATGAAAGATCTTTTGGTAGTTTATTTACAAGGAAACAGGGACCAAAACGTTTGGTTTGTTCCCTCAGACTAGTTGAAAACTTCTGGTTGTTGGCTTGTTTGGCAGAGACAAGCCAGAGGGTTTCAATTCATGGTAAACAAATCACAGGAGTTTCTCTGCTTTGTTAGTTCTTTCATGGGCAAGAGAGCCAAAGCAAATCTGATCAACTAGAATTTAAATTACTACAAAGTATAAACATGACCACTAGAAGAACACGGTATTGCACAGCAGCATTTTACATTTTTTATCAGAGATTTTACAGCTATTTACAAATAGAATTCCAAACTGGAATGTTTGCATGAGGTTTTGGAGTTTCTTTTGGAGAATATCTGTTTTTGAACAAAGTTATACATCGATTGATTCCTATAATGATTAAAATTAATGATTTCCAATGAAATAAAGCCTTTATATCACCTGGAAACACAATTCAAAGGCAGATTCAAGTAGTCTATATATATCTGAAAAAGATATGTTAAAAAGCAAAGTGAGAACAGTGAAATTCAGGGTTTTGTTTGACTTGACATTCATATGACATTAAGTAAGCTATCTCACTGGCAAGAAAAATGATCCAAGAACTAGCTAGACATCTTTGACTCTGTCCAAGTATAAGAAATTTCCTGAAGCCATGGACTTAGCAAAGACAAACTAATGTTCCTCCATGGAATGGGAAGTCCTCAACCTGTAAAACCATGAACATTTTGATTTGTCGCCTAAAACTTCGTAATACTAACATCATGCTTTTGATGCCTGGGAGGATTTCCCCCCTGGATTAAGGGATACATTTATTTAAGAAAATAATACTCAAGGCTATATAGAAATATTAATAAATATATGAATAAAGAACACATTAAAATGGAAACCTACGCAACAGATAAAATATCTTATGCAGATTGTGTTCAAAGGCATTTTTAAGAAAACCTCTAATAACTTTAATGTGCTGAAGCCTTGTTTGAAGAAAATGTCTTTAAAATGCAATACTCTTTTTAAGGGGATAAAAGGAATCTTTAGAGGCATGGGATTCCATAATCTAGATATTGCCACAAAAGATACAACTCCATGAAACACTGGGCAAATACTCTGTCAGAATCTGAAATGCCTCCCTTACAGCTTTTAGGGCAGAGATGAGGAACTGAGCAACCAAAAGGTTCCTCATAACTGTTTGAAAAAGCAAACCATTCTGATTGTTCTGTTATTCTGAGAGCAAATCATTTAAATGGGTTCTTTAAACTTTGCGAGAAACGAGGAAGCCACTGTCATTCTTGCAAATCAATGTCACCTAGTCCAAAACCACCAATCAAGACCCTCTTTTTTGCATTTTGGACTACCCGAGGTTTCTGTTCAAGGGCAGCCTCATGTAGAATGAATCCATTCTGGATATAGCTTGCATGTGTTATTCTACCTTTCCTGTGATCAAGCACATTTGGCATATCACCCAAGCTCAAGAAAGGCACTCCTGAGTCCCAAAGTAATATTTCAGAAGCAAATCCAATTTCACGATTCCACCAATAATACTGATTTTTCTACATAGTGCACATCATGCAAAACAGAACCCCTGATTTCTAAATCATCTGATTCTTAATTAATAACATCTGTTTTAGCTCAAATTTCAGTTTGTTCTCCCTCATTCAGATTAATATTTTCAAATATGTGACATTAACATTTTGTAATATTAAATACTGTTCTTCCCTGTACACATAAATGTTAACTGAGTAACTTTCCAGATTTTTTTTCTGGGCACTATCTTAGAAAGTCGTGAGAAGAGAGAGAAGATGCATAGAAAGGAAAATTGGTTCTAAAACCAATTTTTTAAAATATCTCATCTATTCTAAAATGCAAATAGCATATACTCTAGCCTCCATATTTTATAAGTTTTTATTTCTTGCATTTGTATTAAAAAGAACAAGAATGGATTTTATATTCAGAATATATTATGTTATATTTAATATTATCAATTACCTTAACTTCTCCCTAAACATTCTTGGCTGTCAAGTATAAAATATACATTTACTACTTTGATGAAAAACAATTAAAAGATACAAAACACAAGCTCCCACTTGATTAAATATAGTGGATCTGTACCAACTGGCACAAGTAATTTGGCACAAACATAAACAATGGCAACTCATGAAAAACATAAACCATGTTTCTACAATATCAACAAAAACTATGGCAGCTAAGAAGTCTTAGTTGTTCAATTTCCCCCCATAATTACTGTATTTAAGGCTCTAACAACAATATAGCAAAAGCTATGTAGCAAATTGCTCTAGAGTACTAATTTATGTTATTTAAATTTTGATATTGAAAAAGTTTATCTGAAACCTATTTATAAGCCTATCTTGGCAATTTGTAAAAGACCTGTTTGAAAATGTAAGTTCAGAGTTTGTAGCATAATTTGTGCACATTTATAACCAGTGAGTGTGAAAAAGCAGATTGGTCAAGCGCTTAAGCAAATATTTAGAAATATAATAGTAACTGATAATGAATGTAACTGAAATAGAATCCATACTTTAAGTGGCCCACTTCACACAAAATGCTAAGCCATAATACAGGTTGTCTCAAAGGTGCTTTTTCAATAGGCAACTGGACTTTGTTTTTCTTTGAAGACATTTAGCTTATAATCCAAGAAGCTTTTTCATAATACAGGTTGTTTTTGGCATAGTATCACATAAACTCACAAAAAAGTTAATCCAAAGTACCATAGCTAATTCAACCCATCTTATTAAATATGTGGTTATGTGTGAATCAGGTTATATAGGAGTACTCACAAAACTATAACGTGGTGTTCCTAAATTTGCTCCATAGGTATAACTATGTTTTTTTTCAAATCTCGATAAATCATAGCTTAATATTATGGATACTTTCTATAAGTGGGATCACATAATTTTCTAAGACAGCTTTTTCATGGTTTGATGTATAAATTATAATTTGCTGGGCTCACATACAATAAACCAAAACCAAACAGATTGTGTTTTAATATGTTGTAGATATTGGTGTTTATTGGTGGATTATTAAGATTATTTACTGAACTATTCACGGCTGGATTCATCTATTGTATGCTGAATTTTTATGCATCCTATTTGATTTTTGCTTAGCTTTCTATACAAATATATGAACTGTGATTTGTAAATTTATGCTTTCCTAAGTAAACCCAGGCAGATATGGATTATTCAAATAATATTTAACAAGTGATAGTTTAGCATATTTTAACTTAGTACAGTAATTGATCACTGTTCATGATACAATGGTTGAACATTATCTGTGTTTAAAGCAAATCAGTTGTCATATGCTAACAAATTCACCCAAACCATAGGTAGAAATTGTTTGTCATTCCCTCTCCATTTTAGTTTTATATCTCAACAATTTTCTGGTGGCAGGCCCACTCCTGCCTCCCCCCCCCCTGCAAATAACTACAAAGTATAGTGTCTCACAAAATCAGAATAGTTATATCTGAAGTGATGGAATAAAGTTTTTGCTACCTAAAAAGAGCCCTATGGGCCTCAAAGGAGTAAAAACACAAAATAGTTTCAGCTATGTTCCTACATTCAATTTCCTAGCTATGTGATAGCGCTTTAACTATAATCTAACCTATAGTCCATACTAAGTCATATTTATTCTGTTTAACCAGTGAGAAATTGGTTAATTACCTTTCAGCTATCTCAGTTTCCACTGTTTAGGGAAATGGACATTTGAAACCAAAGTTTAATTTCAAAATCTGGTTTTTACAAATTGAAAATAGCTCTAAGTTGGCAAAACACATATGGCTTCAGCTAAGCCTCTGTCCCTGCTTAACGAGGTATGTGCACATGATGGGATAAAGTAGCAGTATGTAGATGTTCTTTAGCCCTTTCTAGTGAGTTACTAATCAATGCAAACATGATTTTTTTAAAAAAAGAATATTCTAAAGAGAGTTTCCCACTGTACTTCCAAATCAACAAAGCTTGGGAAACATTCAACAGAAATTGTTAAAAGCCAGTTTTTAACTATCCTGAGACAAAGAACAAAGTGGCAGAAAGAACCTCATCCCTGCTTTCAAAGATCCCCAAACACACTTATTAAACTTTCCATTTCACTATAGCTTTTGAAAATTACTTCCAAGACTACTAACATTTATCTCAGAGATGCCCACTCAATATCTCCATCATTTAAACATTGACATGCTCTTGGTAAGGATGAAAATGGCGTTTTGGGGACTTCGCAAAACCTTCACAAAATGACCTCTGGCATATTGTAGTGTTTTATTAGTATGAACTTTGAGGCATGCAAGTGTTCAGATAAACCATCAGAGTTTGAACCAAATTGGACTACTAACTTAAGTATACACAAGAGGCTAGGCTGGAGAATTAGAGTCTGTACATGTCACCAATGTATAAACAGGTACAAAACATGCAAAAAACAAAATTGCAGAAAAACCGGGGCCAATGACCATGGTTAATGTACAACACTAAAATAATAACTGAAAAGCAAGAAATGTGTTTTTATTCCACAGAAAGCCATGAGACTTAAGGGTAGGAATAATAGAAAGGGGTGATAACATTTGAAATGAAGTGATTTGGTAAAAAATAACAAATGACTTTTTAATTATGTAGTACTGTTTTTCTTCAGCCAAATGAGCACAAAATAGACATGTAGCGTGTTTGCAGGGACAAGGCCGGAATCATAAGTAGGGATTTTATAAAGGGAGATGGGAGACCACCAGGTTAATAGAGGATAACCTCACCTGGCAGATCTTCCTTGTTTTACTGAGCTCAAAAACACCTTTTTACGTTATCAAAATAAATGAATTTATACTATCTGGAAATAGAAGCAGTGTAAACGTCTGATTTCCCTTTTTAAGGAATACACCAAAGAAAACATGTTTTTGCTTTGCAACTCCCCACCCAGCCTTTCAGAAACCACGGGAGAAGACCCATCGGCTGGGGCTCTCCTTTGCTTTTACTTTGGAGATGGCGTGGGGGTGGGGGAAAACGAAATAGACGATGCCTTTACAACCGGAAAAACAAAAAAGCTACACATAATCATCCAGCCCTGCGAATGATAACCTCCTCTCTTTTTCCCCGCTCCCCAACCCCCCCACCCCTTCTGCTAGGGGGAAAATCTATTCTAGAAGCCTGTAGAGATATGCGAAGGAAGAGATGGGGGTGGGGAGAAAATCTCCCAGCGCCCCCCGCAACAGCGATTAGAAGATAGTATATCATTTTATAAAGCTACATTGTATTCTGTAGACGTGCTCTGCAGACGCAGGAATAGAAGGCTGTTTGGGGGGGCAGAACTGAATTGGGGGAGCAGTGGAAAGAGATCAGTGCTACTACCCAAGGAGGGGGGACACGGTTCCCCTTCCCCCCAGTTTTTTTTCGCCCTGTCACAGCCCTGAGTTGCAGGTAGAGAGAGTTAAGAGATTTAAAGAGAAATTGCTACATTGTAACAAACTCACCGTGATGTTTGAGCAGCAGTCAGCGCGGGGTCTCCGAGACATCCCCGCACGGGCTCCGGAGGCAGGACCCTAGCAGGCACAGACTCATAGAGGGTCAGCTCAATGCCTGATTGCAACCGACGAAGGTTTCCTCTGAAAGATAATAAAAAATAAAAAATAAAGAGAGGAAGAAAAAGCCAAAGCGGGCGGAAAAAGGTAAAAATAATAATAATACCAACAGGCAGTTTTATTTGTACATTTTCAGCTAAACCTTTTTTATAAAAAATAAAAAAATAGCAACCTCCCTCCTCCCACTCGGCTTAATTTGCATTGGTGCTGCCCCACCCCTCTGGCTCTTTCAAAATACTGTCGCCGCACGCGCGCACGCTCAAAAGGGAGCATTGTAGCGAAGCGTCCGTCGGCCGGGCTTGTCAAGGAAGGGTGCATTAAAGGGGCAGGCGCCGCCAGCGGAGCTCCCCCGCGCCCCCCCCCCCCGGCGGACGCCTTCGCCTGTGCCCCCTCGCCCCCTTTCCCGGCAGGACGGGCTTTGCG